GTAAAAAAAGTGTAAGCAAGTCGAACAGACCAATTTAGAGAGTGACAAAGATAGAACGACACTTGTGTAGACTAGAACTCTAGATAACAAAGATGCGACATTGGCTGCGTTCAGCAGAACGTTTGTTTTGCAACCGTTGGAAGTTTCCTTCGCGCTAATTGGATCATACTTTTAGATCTAAAAGAATGGTCCTATCTCAGCAGATAATCATAAAACGGTTGCAAAACTGTTGAGTCTGCTGAACGCAGCCATTGAGGGGATAGGTCTGATTAGCTGTCTAAAACACGTGATTTAGACAGCCAATACGTGATCACGACGCTATTTTTTTTCTCAATGAGTTCACACGCATAGGCTATTGTAACATGTGGAGATGAGATACTACCAATAATAGTATTCTCTGAAAAAAAATGGCGGCGGTAACCCAGCCTAATCTAGAGATCCTAAAAGTAGAGATCGGCCAATGCCCGGCATGAGTGAAACCGGAAATCACGTGATCTTGGAAATGCGCGTCAAAATCACGCCTTATATCTTTGTCACTAATCGTACTATAACCTATCAATCAAGTGGAACCAAGATGGCGGATGAGAATATCTACATATCTAGTGCCTTATAGCGTTTTCGACCCGGCCGGGTTTGCATCAACCTGGGTAGCGATCATGTAACTTTTTCGCTAGAGCGGAAACGTGAAAAGTGAAAATTTTTATGATGTGTGTTCGTACGTATACACACATACAAAAAATTTTCACTTTTCACGTTTCCGCCCTAGAGAAAAAGTTACATGATCGCTACCCTGGGTTGAATTAATGGCATTTTGTGCTCTCCTATTGGTAGAGCGTGTAACGTCAACCAATAGAAAAGATTAATGCAACCCAGGTTGGTGCGAACCCGATCGAGTCAAAAACGCTATTAGTTTGCAGCATCGCGTTGACTGTACCCTAAGGGCGCGTTCACACCTTGACGGAAAAGCAGAAAGCGGAAAAGCAGTGGCCAATCACAACTCGCGCTGATAGTAAGTAGTACAAAAAGCCGAAATTGTCGACTATCAGCGCGAGTTCTGATTGGCTTCTGCTTTTCCGCTTTCTACTTTCCGTCAAGGTGTGAACGCGCCCTAAGTTGTACAGTTCGCGCAATTAATGCCTTCCCAGCCTATGACATCACGTCCACTGGTGAGACAACGTTTATCTTTGATTGAAGATTGAAAGATTGAAATTTGACCAATCAAAAAAATAGGAACTAAAATTCCTTTGTCCTCACTGGTCAAATTTTAATCTTCAATCTTCAATCTCAATCTTCAATGCATAGTCTGATTCCGGCCTAAGGATATTAGGTCTGTTCGCGTTGCATGAAATCCCCAAATATTTTTGCACTTAAAATGAGATAGATATATATTTGGCCTTGAAAAGAGAGAAAGCGAAGATGCCGAGTGTCAAAAATGCAAGCAACGCGAACAGACCTATTGAGTGCAAAAAGTGCAAGCAACGCAACAGACTTATTTGTGGCCAGCTTCGCGTCGCACAGTTTTGGTAGATCTTAAGGAGAGAGAGAGAGAGAGAGAGGAGAGAGAGAGAGAGAGAGAGAGAAGAAAACGGGAGAGAAAAAAGATGGCAATAGTCATGGCAATAGCATCGAAACGGCTGTGACTGACTGTGAATCGGCGAGATAGTTGTGAGCTGTTGTGAGCCGGAAAGTGAAACGGAAGAAGCAAAAGGAATGTGTGCCGTGATACTGTCGACTTCGCTGATGCTGATCACACGCTGGTTCTCGTCGTCGTCATCGTGAGTGGTGATACCCGTGAGTCAAAATTGCGATGCAATCCATCTACTGGACTGGACGATTGTTATCGCGTGCGCTCTGGAACGGCATCGCGAGCTACAGCTCTGCGTGCAGTAGCGAGCAACAGTCAAGCACGGCTATCGTGAGCAGCAGGCGCCGCGAGGCCTCGCTTGTCTCCGCCGTGTGCGGTTTTCCGAAGGACTTTGCCCGGAGCCGGATACGTAGGGGCCAGTTTGGCGACGATGCCTGGTTCACTGCTAGATTCAGGACAGCCGAAGTCATAGGTGAGACCAACAGCCTGTGATCGCATTCCGCTTACGTTATGCATACTGGAAGTTTGTTTCTTTTAGTTGCATCTTCAAGTTTTCTCCTTGTCTTTCCTTCTCGAAATTCACGCATCTATTTAAAGGCCTAACAATAAGATAAAATAGCTAAACGACTTCACTTTAGCTTATAATGTGTTCTTTACTTCGTTTTTTGCTTTTTACCTCGTGCCTTTTTCCCCTTTGCAACCGTTTTATTGACAATCGCATTTCTTTCACGTGTTTCTTGTTTCTTCCAAAGTTCGTCAATTTTTATCTCATAACTAAAAAATTGGATAATATGCGAAAGGCAAAAAGTAAAAAATAGTAAAAAGCAAGAAACAGAAAACAAAGAGTATATTATATATTAGGCTTTTAACTTATTTTTTATTTTTTTCTTTTCGTCTCTCTTCAAAAAAAAGAATACGACTTCAGATTTGTCATAAAACTACATTTTAAAAGATGATAAGATACATACATATATTTTCTCATTTGTTCTGTATGTGTAGTATTCAGTTAAACTTTTTATTGCGCTTTCTGTACTTTCCCAGTTTTTATCCTTTTTTTACCTATTTAAAGCCTAAATAAAAAAGCTTTCAGTATACTAAATGCGACTGAAAATTTAAGAACCTATAACTTTAAGGCCTAGTTGCACCAGTGTTACTTTGATTTACTTTGACAAGCAAGACTTAAAGCTCTCTCTGTCTCTCTTTAGGCTTTAAAATGAGACAGAGAATATTAAGTCTCACTCAAAGTCAATATAATGTTGATGCAATTTTAAATTATTAATTTTTTAAATTTATTTTATATAAACTGATTTTTTGCTTCCTTTAACATATAGACATCATATATATACATTTTATTTTAAATATAAAAGTTCAATATCTTCAAATAAAGATACATAATATCCATACATATAATATCCAAGAAAAACAAACATGTCTACATTCATTTTTTTATTATAACTTTTGCTTCAAATAGATAATTATTCGAAATAATGTTAGACATTTATATATGTATTTATTAAGTATAAAGTATTTAATTAATTATACCTCATGTATGTCTATAAAAATGCATAATTACTGTACCTTGTAGGTATAGATATATAGTTTATTTAAATTATTTATAAAGTACTTAATAATAGAAAGTTAACAATTCTTTACATAGATGATTCTTATTAAAGTATGCAAATTTTGCTTAAAACTATATAATTATATTAACTATGTGATGTATACACATTTTGTTTTCAAATTTTAAATTTTTAGGTTAAATTTTGTACATGAGAATATAAAATTGACTAGCAGCTTTTTCATATACTTGCTTTATATATTAATTATTTGTTATGCTTCAGGTGTGGCTGATGGTGTGGGAGGATGGCGACATTACGGAATTGATCCAGGAGAGTTTTCTAATTTTCTAATGAGAACGTGTGAGAGGCTAGTCTCCATGGGTAGATTTACACCTACAGAACCAGCTGGTTTATTAGCACGTAGTTATTATGAATTGTTAGAAAATAAACAACCAATATTAGGTAAATAAATTGCTTTCAGTAAAAAAATTAGAGGTAAAAGTATTCAAAAATATTCCAAGATTATTTCTGACATTGATTATTTCTTTGGCATATAGGTAGCAGTACCGCGTGTGTAATAATTCTTAATAAAGAAACGAGCAGCATTTATGCAGCCAATATAGGAGATAGCGGTTTTGTAGTCGTACGAAGGGGAGAAGTAGTACATCGGTCCTCAGAGCAACAACATTACTTCAATACACCTTTCCAATTGTCATTGCCACCTCCAGGACACTCTGATCTAGTACTTCGCGACAGGTAAATTATTTTTTATTATATGTGTATATTCTGCTTATATATCTGTATATTTTTATATATTTATGTTATACATGAGAGTGCCGTGAAAAATCATTATTTAATAATTATATTTCCTTTCTTTTTAGTCCAGAATCCGCCGACACTTCGAGTTTTGGGGTCGAGGACGGCGATGTGATCCTTCTGGCAACCGACGGGGTATTTGACAATGTGCCTGACCAGTTGCTAGTCACCGAGATGCGTAAAATTGAAGGCGAAAGAGATCCAACGAAGATACAGTGTGTCGCTAACACGATAGCATGGATGGCGCGTCGTTTGGCTTTTGATGACGCCTTCATGTCTCCATTTGCTCAAAATGCCCGTGAGAATGGGATAGATGCAATAGGTATGTAAAAAAAAAGTACTAATTGTTTATGCCGTATTTTAAGTAGGATTTTTCAATAACAAAAAACCACTTTCTATAAAAATGTCTTGAAAAGTTATAAGAGAAACTCATTAAGGCATTTTGCCCTGATCATAATGTACAGGGCATCTTTTTTTTATTTAACTAATAAAGAAATAAACTAAATACAAATTTATTTCATAAGAAATTATGCATTTTGAGCCGTATATGTTACAGCATATTTCACACATAAGAGCATACTTTTGCATATTTTACCCACACATGCATAGTATTTACATATTTTATCTTTATTTTTATTGTATCTTTCACATCGTTTTCTAATTTAAGTTTATGATTACGTTATTATAAGTAAAGAACTTAATTAATATTTTGAAATTTGTGCGATAAAAAGTAATTTTCAAATGCATATGTTTCCTTCTTTAGAACATTTTTTCAATTTCACAGAGCATATTTTAGATGCTTAAAAAGGGATTTTTACAGCATAATTTTAGGATATATTAGGATATATAAAAAAGTATAGGGTAGGGAAAGATAGAGTTTGAATCTTTCAGGTGGTAAACCAGACGACATCACGGTGCTTTTAGCAACAGTGGCGATATGATAAAAACAATAAGTGTACAATAGAGCCCTGATGATCATTGTATTATAGTTCATGTCATTGCGTATATGTATTTAGTTATACATCATTATATTAATCCTATTACGCTAATCATTTATTATTTAAATCGAAATAAATGGTTTTATAAAATCATTTCTTATTACTACTCATTATTTTCTTTACAGCTCTTTGATAATTATTAACTATTAAATTCAAGGAATACATCGTGCGAAGGAAAAACATCCTACGATCCTGGAAGTCAAAGATATAAGAAAAGATAAATATGTGCAAATTTAAGAAATTAAAACGCTATAGATATTCGAATCTAGTATTCAAAAGGAATAAATAATTTAAAGAACTTAAAATCCCTAAGGATCTTAGAAATTGCTATTAGAACAACGATAATTATTTCTCGCAATCATGCGGGAGTCCAAATTTCTTATTTCTTTGCTTAAATCAGTACAATATAAAATATATTTGCATTAACATTTGGAAGTGACCTGTATTAAAAATTCACAACTATTTAGCTTAGGATCATAATTGCATATAGCGCTCACGAGAATCACAGAAAAAGTTACATCCAAGCTAATTATTAATCGTACTTGAAAAAAATAATCCACTTTTCCTAAATAAGAGAAAAAATTTCAAGATGCAAAACTACACTAAAACTTAACTCACACTTAAAAAAATTCTTTGCTACAGTAATTGACTATATAATTTACAATAGATTGGTCCTAGAAAAAAAAAACATTACCTTTTCATCGTCCTCATAATGAAAAGGTAATGAAAAAAAGAAGCGACAGTTATTAACTATCAATGCGAAATCTCCGTTGTATTCACATAGTACATAATATACACGTATAAACAAAGTGTGGGAAGTGTATATATATTATTTCTTCAGTTTATATTTAACGATTTGTACTTTGTAGATGTTACCTAGATTACATTTCGCTACAATAATAAATATAAATAAATGCTTTAGTACAATTTAAAATAGTCTCCCTGTCACAATGGCATTTTTTTCTTTCTTCCATCGATACTTGCAAGAACTATATGAGCACGATTAGTGTATCACAAAATTACCACCGATCGCAAATATCTTTTTTACAAAAGTGACATTCTTAATATAATAAATCTAATTAATTCGGAAAATTATAATTCTCGTGTTCAACCGGAAGTTTATTCTCTAGCGACAGATGGGTGTAACCCTCGAAATTCAGTTTTATTCGCGTACATAAAAATCTCTATCGAATTAGAGAATTTTAAATTCTGCAGCAGATATAAATCTGCGGAATACGACAAACTTTAATATTTATTATCACTAAAACATTTTACTTGCTACATACGTTTAGAATGAAATAAGCTACTATATACGACATTAGGATCGTATAAACAGCTTAGGCCTAGGTCTACAACCAGTCGGAAGACGTCGTATGTCGTGCCATAAGAAATTCGCCAATCACAGTTGAATGTGAAAAAAACAATCGACCATGATTGGTTAATTTCTTACGGCACGACATACGATGTCTCCCGACTGATTGTAGACTAGGCCTAATAGACTGAAATATCTAATAACAACTAAAATTACTAATCTTTAACTCATTTCAAACTTAATGAAGAATCTATGATTGAAAAACAAAATATAAGTTCGCAGCCTTATATTCTGAATAAAACAATTTAATTCATATTTTCTGCAATAGCACAGCGCTAGAAGCGCAACGCTTAGCTTCCAAAGAGCTAATATTAATAGAATCCGGATTCTGTATATAGAAACGAGTATCGAAAAACACGTATGAATGTGTAAATGGAATTTAGAAAAATCAATAAAGCTTACTGATTATTTGAGTGCGTTTCTTTGTAGCTTTTTTGACTATATGCAGAGTGTATAAATACTCGCGCGTTTTCTCATGTCTACAAATTCCTTGAGAAGTCAACAATTATATACAGATACTAAGGCTCAAAAATTTAAAAAAATAATAAATATAAAAGAAAGGCCAATACTTGACTCATAGCCCTTTTTCTTATATTTATTAATTCCTTGAAAAGTTTGAAGTTGACTTTTCTTCGACGACAATTTGATTATTATTGAAGATTATTAATCGCAATCTTTAAGTAAAATCTTATATAGGTATCGAATTTTCACTTAAAAAATATCAGCTTATGCTTTTATTATGTTTTTCGAAAGATCTTTAATGGAATGAAATCGCTCGATCTCTTATACACCCTATACATATATTATCTTTTACGTGTATCTCGTTATACATCTTTGCGTACAAACCCGGGCACTAAAAATTATCATACACAATTCGAAAGGAACAATGATAGCAACATCCTCGGACAATTCGACGTAAGAAACAGCATCAAGAAGAGAATGCTGAATTTTTCGATTATTGTACATTGGCTTCTTCTCCCCAATTGAAGCCGCCTGGCCGATCTTCTGGTGGTGGCATATAATCTGTATCCTCAGGATATGCATCAAACAAAGTCTTTCTAAGAAAGAAAATTATATCATTTCTCTCATCAATAGTCTATCACTTATTTATCATCATCCGACTTTTGAGACATTTCTCGATAAAGGAAACTGAACAAAATTATCGCATTTTCTATCAGTTTAGCTTGAAATTAACGTTTGCAAGTGATGACACATCAAAAAGTACGAAAGAAACATATGTAAGAAAAGTTCCATTGCTTAGATTAAAATTGGCTATTTTACAAAATGTCCTAGACTTTAGACAATAAATAAAATAGGTCGATTTTGACCAAAGTAATGGAATCTTTCTTATGCATGGTTATTTTCTTCCATGTGTTAAATCATTTGTGAACATTAATTTTAAACTAAACTGATAGAAAAATATTAAAAATTGCAATCAAAAACAAGATTTCGATAAAATTATGCTACTTTTAATGCAATTTTCAACATATTTTCATCAGATCAATTTGAAATAAACGTATCCACATGATGCAGCACATAAAAAAATACAAGAAAAACATGCATAAGAGAGGTTCCATTGTTTAGGCCAAAATCCAACAATTTCACCCATCTTTTTTTGATCGACAATTTAATTAATAAAGCGATAATTTTCATTTTAAATAATCATAATAATTAGGAATACACTAAATAGTAAAATTATCGGATATCGGGTATCAGATATCCGGTAGGGCAATTATACGATCGGATACCGAATATTTCTTTGGATACACTGTCGGACATCTGGAACAAAGCTCCAAAAGAAAGAAAGGAAAAAATAGCGATATTTTTTTTTATCTTCTCATGAAAAGAGAAAGAGGGAAAATGAACTATGCATTTTTTCAAAAATTTCTCCTTTTTGAGATATTCGCGTGTATTGATTAAAATGGCCTACCCGTATGTATATATATATATAATTATATATATATAACATATACATATATATTACTGGATATTATGATATCCGACTATCCGATCGGATAAGTACGGGATAATACCGGATATTTTCCGGATATTCTAATAATCATCCCTAATAATATAATCACATGATTTTAATAATCATAATTTTTATCTTAATTTTAGTGTTAAGTTTGCTTACAGTATTTGAGGAGTTTTCAGAATTCGGAAACCACCTCTTAATCGGGGAAATACATCCTCTGCGAAATAGTAAGTATGCCCTACTGCCATTCCCACAAGATCAACCCATATCGTATTGCCAAGCAATACAGAGAAGCCTAACAATACCCACGGTAAATACGGAGCCTAAAAAAATCAAAGTTATAGGTAATTGTAACAGGACTATTTATTGAATACAAATTAGAATAATAATGCAATAGCTAATTACGCAATATTAATAAAACAAAAATAATGTATAGCATGTGCATTTCTTTAAATTGGACCTACTTGGAAGTTCAAAAGTCCGAAGAAGTTCATCCTGACGAAAGGATTTCGTCGTGACCACACGTACACCAACATTATTGTGAATGCATGCCCCAGGAATAGCAAATTGACGAAGAATGCAAAAGTCTACGAATAGTTAAGGAACAGGGACAAGAGTATTCTTTAATTAAAAAGAACATTTTTTAAATAGCAACATTTAATAATTATAACTATAATTATCATAATTATAATTACCATTGTAATTACTACAATCACTATAATTACTATAATTATGAACATTATTATACACACAAGTGCTGTTAATTGTAATTATTATTAAGAAAGAAATGTAATCTAATTTAATTAATAGAATATTAGTGTTCCAATTAATAATATTATAGAATGTCCCCATAATTATAATTATTATCAAAATTATAATGATTAAAATTTGCCAAGGATACAATCATGCATAATCCACCAAAGATAAACATCATCACAAAATCAGCTGTTCTCCTGCGGAAGGATCCTTCCTCCAACATACGGCAATATCGATATGTGAAGATCATATTGAATAATAGATTGAATCCAATATTTCCAAAGAACAGAAATGTTGTTATTAATCGCCATATCTGAAATAATCCAGTGTAATTCTTTAGGAAACTTAAAGTTGTACTGTTGATTTAGTACATGAAAAAAAATAAACTTGACAAAAAGTACAAATCTATTGATAAATTTTCTTCTAATGAAGATAAAAACCTTTGAATTGTCTTACATAATAAAGCCAACTTTACGTAGTTATTTGCATATCTATACTTTCGTACCTGGTACTGCTCCACAATAAGAATAGGATTGAAATACAATTGAAACGGGGATACCAAGTCTAATTGCTGAAACATTTAAAGCAGTTATACATTGCTAACAAACAAATATATTTGATAAACTCAATGAAATCCATTTATTCATTTGATTAAAATTATTTCCTGATTATCAGGCTTCTCTCTGTATAATATCATTTTTATACAATCGTTAGATAAGAATCAGGATGATAAATGCTGAGTCATCAAATATGTTCCAGTGTAAAGCTGATTCTACAATGAGTTAGTCAGAAATCTTAAGTCTTAACCAGTTTTAACCTAAATAGGTGACTATGATTTTTTGCATCTACTAGTTGTTAGTTGTACAGCGAGTCGTTTAATTCGACTAGTGGGAAGGAATAAAGTTGAATTTGGTCGGTCTTAAGAAAATCAGTAGTCTAAGGGCCATGGCACACAAAAAAACTTAAGCAGTAAAATGTAAGCAGTAAGCGAATTGACCAATCACAGTAGAGTCCATAATGCCCATGGCACATACAAAAACGTAAGGCCGTAATACGTAAGCAGTAAAGAAATCGTAAGATTGGATTCGCTACTGGCCTTACGGTCTCTATTGTGATTGGCCAATTCGCTTACTGATTATGTCTTACGGCCTTATGTTTTTGTATGTGCCATGGGCTTAAGGCCATAACATAAGCAGTAGCGAATCCAACATGTTGATTTCCTTATTGCTTACGTCTTACTGCCTTAAGTTTTTTGTGTGCCAGGGCCCTTAATCATAAAAGTTGGCTATTGGCCAACTTCACCGATAAGACTTCGGACTACGAACTCACTGTAGAATCAGCTAAATACTTGATGATCTTACAGAAACAGATAAAAAGAAAATTTGAAAATGCAAGAGAAGGGATTTGGAATGAAGATTCGAGTTTGGACACGCGCGACGGGCGGTCGACGGGCGAGGTTGATCGAAGGGATAAAAAAAAAGCCACAAGATAAATACCACAGCAAGGGTCGTGATGACACAGGCTGTGGTGTAAGCTCGCGTCACCACGGGCATCTGCTTGTACTCGTGCCATAACGCTTCGTAGGCCATTGGCATCGATTGTCGGCGATTTCACGCCCGTGTTCCTTCGTTCGCACCGAGAGCTCGCAGCTGCACACACGCCGCTCCCCAATCCTGCTACCCGTTTCACCATCGCATGTCGCACCGATGCGCGCAGCAATGTTACCTGCACATCGTTGCCCGCAGATGCGATTTCGTCTTCGTCATCCACAAACACGATCTTTGTACACGTAACACGTGAAACTGCGTGAAACGTGAAACTGTCGGCGGGGCGGCGGGAACACGCCTGGTGGAATTTCCGCGTGAAATACGCCGTCGCTGTCAATCCACACGGGCTAAAGTCACTAGATTATAACCCACACAGCATGAAATAATAGGTACATCCAGAAGCACGACCGCTCAGGGTGCCATTACATGCGTAGAAATGCGGAAACGCGTAACTAATTAGAAGCGATCCGCTGTTATGGTTCGCATTTTACCGATTATTGATTGGTTGCGCGTTTCCGCGTTTCCGTGCTTATGTAAGGGCGCGTTCACATCTTGACGGAAAAGCAGAAAGCGGAAAAGCAGCAGTCAATCAGAACTCGCGCTGGTATTCGACAATTTCGGCTTTTTGTATTACTTACTATCAGCGCGAGTTGTAATTGGCTACTGCTTTTCCGCTTTCTGCTTTTCCGTCAAGGTGTGAACGCGCCCTGAGGGTGCCATACGCAGTGTGAATCCTACATAACCCCAAAAGTGTATGCAACGCGAACAGACCTAGTAGTATGTTCATTGGATATCGCGCTCGCTAGGGACTCATCCCAAACACCTAGTAATAAAATTTACTAAACATCGAAACAATTTTAGTAATATCGAAGTAAAAAACTATCGATATAGGAATTAATTGATTTCTTAAAATCGGGAAAATAATCGATTATTTGTACAAAAAGCATCGATTCTTAAATCATCGATCGATAATTTTCCATCCCTACATACAAAATTGTGTGCTTCTCCAGGTGAGGACGCACGTGAAACGGACGGTCAATCATTGCGTTTGATCGACTGTCAGAAATAATCCGAGGATGGTTCTTACTAAGGAGTACCGCATTTCTATGCCGCTCACTACGGAAGAGGTAACCTTCGTATTTAATAACGAAACGTAACGCGTATTTAATTATTTATTCGATAAACGAAAGTATTTATCCCACTCGTTTGATAATTATCGTTGTCTATCTTATGTTGATTTTTTTTTTTTTTGAAAGATGTCGAAATCTTTTAATAAGAATTACTTCGTAGTGATCGATCAATTTCTTTGTATAGTATCGCATCGGTCAGCTATACATGATCGCCAGACACAGTCATGAACAATCCGACAACGACGAAGGAGTGGAGGTGGTTGAAAATACCGTCTGCGAGGATCCTGTTCATGGAAAGGGCCAGTATACTGAGAAAAGGATCCATTTGTCTAGGTAAATCTTATTTTTAAATGTATAACATGAAATATACGCAGTATTACAACAGGTACGAACATTTTCTAGCAAGAACATAGTATAACACGTGAATAATTTCATCCTTGTTTAACATTAGCAAACAACAAGGATATATCCTTGCTGAAAAATATCCTTTATAGGAGCTTTATAGTGGCTTGTTGTTTCTTGAAACAAATACTTCACTGTCTTTTTTTTTCTTTTCAGTAAACTCCCTTATTGGATTCAATCCATCTTACCACGAATATTTTATGTGACGGAAAAAGCATGGAATTATTATCCCTTTACTATAACAGGTACATTTTGCTTTGTTTGCATAATATAATCGCAATACTGGGTTACAAATTTTGAATAATTTTTAGTGCAAGAAAAAGAAACATTTTTTTAAAACATATTTTGAAGCAGTGAATCTGCTACCAGAAAAATTCCATCTGGTTGAATTTTTAAGATATAACGTGTCAATTTTTAAGATATATTTTTTCTAATTAATTTGGATGCGACAAATAATGGAGAAGGCAAATATTTCCACTAGAATTTGATGATAATTGAGAAACATCAAGGATACTGGAAAAAACATGCTAAACAACTAAAGCAGCTTTGCAGTTGTAAAATTCTTTAATATGATTGGTCTTGCTCTTAGTTCTTCATCTAAATGTATAAACCAATCATATTCAAGAATTTTACAACAGTTGCAAAGCTGCTTTCTCTGCTGAACGCAGCCAATTATTGCTAGACATTAATACTGATCCATGGAAATATATTAAAAAAATATCTTTTATATTTGAAAAATAAGACCTTCCATGGAAATATTTAAATAGCAAATTCAACTTCAGCATTGAAAAAATTATAGAAACAGCCTTTATCTTCCACAAAACTTTGTAAACTAGTATAATTTTATCAAATTTTACAGTCTAGTTACTCTAGGTACTCTAGGTACTCTTACTAATTACTTTAGAAGTTGGAAGTAGTAATGACTCTTTTAGTACTCATAAAAATAATGATTTTCAAATCTTAGTATTTAAAAAAAAGGAAGTTAAACTGTTTTAACATTTTTTTATTTTCTTGCATGTTTATTTCTTCCTGGTGACTGCAGATTACACTGTGAGTAACATTCAGTATGAATATTGCCATAAAATTTTATATTAGTCCTGAATTACTTTTCTTTCAGTGTTCCTTTGTGCCAAAGTTTCATATAGCGATAAACACACGATATGAAGACAATAATGGCTCCACAGAAAATGTAAATAACTTTTTACATCATACTCGTAATATATATTTTGTTATTACATTACATTCATAATATACATTTTGTTATTACTTTTTATTTAATAATATAATATTAATACTGAATCTATTATTATTAAATTATAGTGCTTAGGGCTGTCACCCATGGAATTGATTCATCGAGAAGTCGATTTTGTAGATATTGCATATGATGAGCTCTCTGCGAAACATTACAAAGAGGAGGAAGTAGGCTTGCAATCAATTTCATCCATATTTAATGCCTAATGTTAGATTTTAATTCTAATCAAAATGCCTTAATCTTAACAGGATCCAAAGTACTTTCAATCGAAAAGAACAGGCCGTGGCCCCCTGATTGAAGGTTGGAGGGACACAATGCAACCCATAATGTGCTCTTATAAATTGGTTCATGCCTCGTTTGAAGTTTGGGGTATGCAAACGCGAGTGGAAGATTTCATACATAGAGTAAGTTTGTCTAATTGACTATTCTCATCTGCCTTACATTTTAGCAATATTTTTTTCAATAGTTATATAAATAATGTCATTACTATTCAGAAAATATTTAATATGCCTTACATTTTAGTGATACAAAGTTATATGAATTCGCAATCGAGATTAGTTGTGATTTTATGTGTACGGTTCAATGAGATTCTTATTGTTTATATTCGATTTCTTGATATATAAATTTAATATAATCGAAGTACTAAACTCTCGAGTCTTCCCCACTAAAAGTACATTGTGATTACTTATTGATTATTCTATTTTCTATTTGATTTTAGTGTATAAGGGATATTCTAGTGTTGGGCCATAGACAGGCATTTGCCTGGATCGACGAGTGGTATGACATGAACCTGGAAAATGTACGGCAATATGAGCAGAAGATGCAAACCGAAACAAATGAAAAGGTTAGACTGAAAAATCAACTTGATGAGAAACAGACCGGTACACCGTCCTCATCTATGCCAACTACGCCAAAGTCACCCACACAACGATCGTGGTTTTCCTGGTCGTAGCCACAATTAGTGCAACAATTGATTTTGAGCTCTACAGCAGTTTTCTGTCGCTCTGGTTAACATTAAGAAAAAAATGAGTGACAATCTCTGTTATTCATGCTCATCTTTTATCTGTCTTAAAGAATGCACAAATCAGTCATGACATAGTCTTTAAATGAATTTTACACTAGTATAATTTAATTGATGGTTTTATTGTAGTAACAACTTACGTAGTTTTCCTTGAAAAAAAAATACAAGAAAAATAATTTTAGAGAACGTAAATAAAGCTTATAAAAATTTGTTATTAATCTAATTTTAGTAACCAGTATTTTTTTCATGAAAGAAAAACCTAAGAGGAAGAAGATTTTAATTTTATGATTTTAATTTTAAATAAGAAAAAGTATCAGTATTATTTTTATTAAAGGAATATGTCTAATTGATTACTGCATTTTTTGGAATGTATACATAGGCGTAGTTCCATACATGTTCCATACGTAGGCTTGCTGTGAAAACGATTTTTATGTACTTTCGTATCAGAATAGAATACACTTGAAAATATCAAACTCCGTGTGCGATTACACAGTTAAATTTTAAGAATGCCTAAAGGAAGTTGTTTTAAGTCATTCCACAAAATGGTATATATACTTAAATTTTGAAATTTAAATCGTAAAGTTTAACCGCACATTTTAGTCACACCTTACATATGCGAAACGTTTTATTTGCGTTTTGCTCGCGCGCGTTAGCAATAAAATAATTTTATCGTATAAAATTCTACAGTGAATTTATTTATAATGTATGAAACATTTTATTTGCAGTTTAATGTATAGAGACACTAGAAAAGATATAAAAATATATGTGTTTGCAAATAATTCCTTATTTAAATAAACATCTTCATTTTGTATTACAGGTACAATTTATTTAATTTACGGATCTTAATTATAAAAAAATTGTAAACTTGTAAGAACTTACAGGCGCTTGTAATTTTATTGTAAAATCTTTACAGACAGCTTCTTGCTAGTTGTAAGATTTACAAAAAACCGTAGATATTTACGAATGACCGTACGTCTTATACATATGCATAGAATTACAGTGTCAGTTATAAGTTCTTACAAGTTTTATGAAAACAAGTTACGAGCCTTACGATTCTGTTTAGAATTGATCTAGTTACTTTTAATTAGATCGATAATCGTTACTATTCATTGGCAGTAGATGTAAACGTAATATTTTAATTAAAGTATAATTGAAATATTTTATCAATTTACATAAACAAAATTACGATAATATAAATAGTAATTTGCATTTAAAAATATTTCGCACGATTTGTACGATTGTTATAAAATTGTTAATTAGAATTAGCAATTGTTTGATGTAACCTGCCAACGATTGGATGTTGTAATGGTGTAATAAGAACACGTGCCATCTCGCCAACATGACCTGTCGACAAAATTTTATTGAATTGTTAATAAACGCTTCGTTAGAAAGTAATGCCTGGTTTATGCTTCGGTCTTAATCCTAAAATCCTAAAATTTAGCTAATGGAATACAGATTTCAGTTAGGACCAGTTAAAACTGGCAGCCCTATTGGCTGAATTTTAGGATTTTAGAGTTAAGACCGAAGCATAAACCAGGCATAAACCAAATTACTAGTATTCCTATTAGGCTGCGTTCGGAAACATCACCCGAGTGCCCCCATGTATCGTTTTATCCTTGTGTTCATCCAATGTTAAACAAAGATAAGATGATACACGGGAGTACCCAGGTGATGTTTCCGAACGCAGCCCTATTAAGGCTTCTGAGTAATCACCACAGCCACATTGAGTTACATTGAGTCGTGACGTCAGAAGCGAGAAATGACACGTTAATTTTTATTACTTGCCATTTGTAAATAAAGACAATTTGGATAAAACAAAATGATGAGATCGCTTTAAAACATTTGTAAAAATGGACAAAAACTAAGCTTATTCCCCCTGACAGTCAGTAAATAAATCGTAAAGTAATTTTGACTCGCTTTTGACGTCACGATTCAATATGATGTGGTGACTAATCAGAAGCCTTAATAATAAAAAAAAGATTAAAATAGTCATGAATACTTTACGAAATAATAGTGGATATCTATATATTAGTGAAATTGAAATATATTAATTAATAATATCTTACAAATATTACAATGATCTCTAAGTCGAACAATAGGATACAACAACGAAAACTCTTGCCATCTCGTTAATTCATCTTCCTCTTGTGGGGTCGAAGCTGTCTAAAAATACATAAGTAACGGATGATAGCGGCTATTTTTTACCAAAAAATTATTCTAAGACAAAATCAATTACATTAATTAAATATGACTCAAAATTAAGTTAAGGACATGTTAATGGATTTTTAATTGTTTTTCCAGTAAAGATTTCTTACATCAGTGTAACTCGTCGTGGAATTTATAGTTTCCGTATAAATGTCATGTTGTTCATCGCGACGGAGTTGCGCGGCGGCTTCCGTAATTAATTCGCTGAATCTGGCCGCCACTTGTTTCCATCTTATTAAATCACCAGGCTATAAAATAAGGCCAAAATAAATTACATGAAAGAAACACTTTTAACATAATGCATTTTATGAGATTGGATTTAAATGTGTAATTTTTTTCGATAATTATGCACATTAGGAGCGACCTCAAATTTTAATGACCTTGATATATTATATATTGTCAAGATCATGATCCTGAGTCACTTCCGACAGGTTTTAGCCGTCGTTCATTATTCGTTAAAAAGTTATTAATAAAAAAAGTTTAAGAAATAACATTGCATTTTTGTTATACAATATTAAACAATATAATATTATATCCTATACCTTCCCCTGTTTAGAAATGTTTAACTTTTCACGCGAAGCGAAATCTACCCCTCCTTCCCTCTGCTTAGGGGAGCATGAGTATCCACGTGAAACGTCCACCCCATCTCCCCCCTGCCCAGAACTCGCTTCGCGTAGAAAGTCGAACGCCCTTTGGTAGGAGGGAGTTGGGGTTGAACTAGATTGAACTCGCTTTGCATGGAAAGTTGAACGCCACTTAGCAAGGAGGGATGCGAGGTGAAACTCGCTTCGCGTGAAAATAGTCGCACGTTCCTTCACAGGGGAGGAGGTGAGGTGGAACTCGCTTCGCGTGAAAAATCGTGCGCCTCTTGGCAGGAAGAATTTATTGTAAAATAGAGAATTTTTGTTTTATGTAGTAGAAAAAAGATGTTATTTCTTAAACTTATTTTGGTCATAATTTTTTAACGAATAACGAGTGATGGCTAAACTCGGTTGAAGATCACAACATATGTCAAGGTCATTAAAATCTGTGAATTCGCCCCTAATATGCATAATTACCTTTTTTTCTAATTAAAATAAAAAATAAATACTTAAGAGTTTAATATCTAAGCAAAATTTTCAATGTTAAAAAGAGTAAATTGAATTGTATAAGATCTTTAACGCTAAAAATTTTGGTATAAAATAAATTGATTCGATGGGTTAATGAGAAATTATAAATAATATATTATTACGGATAAATTAAAAAACACTGGTAAAAGTGCAACAGGTAATGGAGATCCGCGCAATTCAGAACATTCGGAAGGAGGTCCTGAGAGAGTTAAGTGTCTTAGAAGATCCAAAACATGAGTCAAGAGCTCGCAATGACGACCACCGACATCCTGTCTAATAAGCCCTAGAGCATCTTGTGCGATAACTTGTGCTTCTACACCTGGATTATCAGCTGATCATATATAAATATTAAAACTTATATTTATATCATTCACAGAATGTGCAAAGTTCTCAAAATATCTTTAATATTACAAATGACGATTAATACTAATAAATTATATTTAATATTAATATCGACTATTAAAAAACTGAAACGTTAATTGAAAATCTATTATACTAATAATTAAGTATACAGATCAAAGATTAAAAATCATCAAAGACTCATTTGTCATCAAAATTTTAATTTTAGATTTGACGTTACCATACCGTAATTCATCAGAACTGACGTTCTGCTGACGCTGAATTTTTAAACGCTTTTCAATAAACGTTGCATTTTAAACGTATTTGCCATTTTCAAACGACAAATAAATTATAATTACGAGAAATATTCATCGTTATTTTCTTACGCATTTATCACTTTCACTCCTTATTTATCGTTATTAATATTTACCAAGAATCAATTCTTGCACATGCTGCGGCATAATTGGTTTTTTTAAGCTGCTGAGAAAAATTTGTAAAGCTGCCGCACATTCCAGAGCAGCATTATTTGAATTTTCAAAATGCGGTTTATGGCCTTTCTTTAGAGAATTCAGGATATGTCGTCGAACCTCACGACGTCCTGCTCGTCGAAATAATCCTTCTACTCTAGCATCTTTGAATACAGAATTATGTAAAAATTCATTTTTACAAAATGTTTTAACGTCAAATTCAACAGTTTACAAAAAAAAGAAAACGTTTTGAAATAGACTTACGCTCTTTTAAAAAATGTATAAGTATTTTCACTACATCCAAAGACTTCTGTGATATTATGTCGTCACCTCTATCTTGCCTGAAGATTAAAGAATAAGGAAGTGAATATTAAGAAACTGAAAAAGAAATAAGCAAACACTTAAAAATTAACGGATGTATACAGGAAGCGATTGATGCAACACGGAAAACATTTTTGTGCTCAGCATCGTGTGTCCTCGCTGCATCCCTAACATGCGAGCTTATAAAGAATCGTCAGGGTTCCTTTATTCGAATCTTTTAAGTATGTCGAGACAAATTTCTTGTCGCTATTTGTTATTTTATTTGTCTGTGAGCGTAATCCTAACTTGCGGATCGTTTCGAAGGATTCGTAAAGAAGCCTGTCCTTCATGTAGTCTAGATTGCCCAGAAGCCTTGACCGTCCAATTACCATGGTAAGAATATAATTTCCTAGGTCGACAAGAGTGACGAGCTACTCACGTACGCTTTTTGTGGTGTAGATACATAATATGTATTATATATCCCTAGGTAATAAGCTGATATTATTTTGATGTTAAAATAACGACAAATAACATCAGCTTGTTACCAATGTCTGCACTACATCATATATTGTAGCATAGAATAAATAATATTTTGTCATGAAACTCTTTTTGACTTACATTTTACGAGTTACGAAGCCTGCTAAGAGCAAGATTTTGTAATTTTGCTTTTAAAAGTATCATATAATAAATAAAATAATCTACTCCTTGCTCACGGTGCAGATACACGTCTTCATACTCATATTTTCTCTCTTAGAAGTAACATAGCATTATGAGACCTTTTCAGCTTCTCTTTTTATAAAGCGTGTACACACCCGGATTTTGCAATTTAGTTCTCAAAATATTGGTCAACAATTCGAACTTTATGCCGCTGCAAATGGCATTCTCCCCAAAAATTTTACAAAGTCCGTGCATTCCGTCAAACTTTGCAATTTTCAATATGACAAACACACCCTCATATTTTAAGAGTTACAGTGATAGGGGTTTAAACTTAAAATCTGGCCATAGCGTCTTAAAGTAGAGGTTTCAAGCTTTAATTAAAAAAAAAAAAACATTACCCTATGATAATTTTTCGCAAAGTTCGGTAGTCAAAGTTGACCAATATTTTTGCCCAAAATTTTTCTATGTCATAATTGTTTTGATGAGTGTATTATATGTATACATAATATATATATAATATATATATTTATTTATATATATTTAATATGTAGTGGGATTATAGTATAAATACATGTCTAATTAGTAATACACAGGGTTGGCAAGTACATTGTGAATTTTTTATGATGGTAATGCTAACATCAGAGTTAGAAAAGTCAATCGTTACTTGTAATAGATTGAAAAAGTCATTACTGAAAAAAATAACTCCTAATTTATAACGCGTTACTTTTTAGTAACGAGTAAGTTACGCGTAATGTTACACGTTACTCGATATACTTATAACTTTTTCAGTGTAACGCATAATAGTGACAAGTTACTTTTCAAAGTGATATTTTCTTCTCGGATATCTAACCGGATACCGGATATTCGTTGTTACATTCTGTCCGGATATCCGATAGCCGGCATATGGTAATTTTCCAGTGCATCCCTAGTTATTATAAATCTAATGAGCGAAAAAATTTACAATATGTTTCAGGAATCCTCATCAAGAATCAAATTTGCTTCAAAATTCTCCGTATTCTCGCTTGTCACGAGGAGAAATCTCTCAGAATATAGCACGCGATGATGTTTCATTACATAAAAAAAAAAATTTGATGTCTTTCGGAAACTACAGAAGATTTCATCAACAAGAACCTGTTAATCAAGATTTATTTGTCAAGAATTATTTTAATAGTTCTCCGCAATCCTCAGACAGACAAGAAATATTTTCTCAAGACGTACCTATGAGAGGATATTCTCATATTGTTCCATCGAGACAAATTTTCGAAGAAAATTGGTTTTTCAGAAATCCTCACAATAAGTATTCAGAATCCTTGTTAGAAGACTATAAAAGAATGAAAGATTATAAAATGGATAAAGAAGATCCTATGAGAAAAGTACTAATGCAGCGCGCCGATAGAGATACAAAGTCATCAGGGAAGTATTCAGAGGACACTTCTTCAAACGTCATGCAGTTAGAGAAACCTTTCTCTAAAGTTGAAAATATTTACCGACTTCGCCGGGAAGATATCCTCGACGAGGAAAAAGATATAATCAAGGAGTCTTCAAATTCTGCCAGCCAGCTTAGGTATTCTCCAGAAAGATATAGTCCCGTAGGATTTGGTCTATCAGAAGTTAAGAATGATCCTTATGTTAAGGATACAGACATCTCAAAATCAACAAAAAAATTCTTTGATAATTGGGACATCGCTAAGAATTCACAATCCTCAAATTCAAAACAATTTAGGAACAATTTCTTAGAACTATATCCTGCGAGAAAGCAAGAAATTATAGCCAAAGACGATAATGAACAAATCAATTCTAATTCTCATAATTCTAAGTTCCCTCAGGATATAAATATATGGAAATCAAGAAAGGATGAAGAATTGTTCGATTCTCTGATGAAAGCAAATACTAAACCTTTCGAAAATGAGGAAGACGATAAAGATATGAAAGAATATTTTGAAGGCGAGACTGAATACTTCATGGATGACAAAGATATGAAAGAATATTTTGAAGACGAGACTGAACATAATACTATCAAAACTGGACGAAATAATATTAATCCTCATATGTTTCCTCCGAATATTTGGAAAGGAATAGAGAATGAAGAATTCGACGATTTAAATTTTATACGTGAAAACTCGCAAGAGACGGGACAATTGGGATTATATTCTGAAGAAAATAATAAATATTTCCAGAACGAGCAAGACGAGGATCTAATCTTTCGAGACAAAGCATACACCAGTACTGAAACTGCTCGTACACCTGTGATTAATGCCTATAATGCTTATATACTTCCTCGCTACTTAAATATTGTAAATGATAAAAAGTATCCTACTAAATCAGAAACGCAGGAATTATCAGAAACTAAAAATAGTATACATGCAAATCCTGTAAAAGAAATGAATCACAGGTTCTTCGAAGATGAGGCTGTTGTTAAAGACAATATAATGAGCATCAAAGATCTTATACATCCTAAGAATATTTTCAATATAAAGAAATACAATAATCCTATTGCCAACAAATGGAATAAGAACGAAGTTTTGACAGAACTCGATCCTGATATATTGGACGATATCGAAAATCCTCCAGTAGAAACAACCGAATCGGCACTAACATAATTCTCTGTTGAATTTTTTTTAGTGATAACAAACAGAATTGATATTACATACAAATATGTAAGATCTCAGAGAATTGAATTACTTTTCATGTAAGAATTTTTTAAGGACCAATTTTGGTTCAATAAAAACGTCGACGAAGCAATAATTTTTAAATTTTAAGTGATTGAAAACAATAGCTCTAAAAAATACATAAAGATATAATTAAGTCACACAATATTTAATATAAAAAATTAATAACTCTTGCTACTAAATATGATATTTTTATGAAGAAAGATTTATTCCAAAATTGATCAAAGATTTCAGGATAAATTAAAAGTATGATTCTAGGTCTGAGATATTTTAGGTATGTAATTTTCATCATTCTACTACTGTTGTGAATAGCAACTGGGATTACTTAACTAGATCTAATAAGAAAAAAAAGTTATCATTTAAAGATAAACATAAATCTGTTATTTATTGTTAATTTATTAAGTTTCATTTAATTAGTACTGTTAAGATATATATTATTTGATAAATAAATAATAAAACGTTAAGATTGCTTCTAATTTTCTGTATATGTTCCATTTGAAAAGAAAGTCTTCTATAATACAAATTCAGGATTTTTTCTGTATTCACTATTATTATAAAATAAATGGATCATCATAAAAGAGAATTATTTGTATGATTTTTTATTTTATTTTACAATTTTACTCCTCTGGTAATAATAATAATATATATATGTATATATATATATTATTGTACCAATCACGTATTGCAATTTATCGATGCATTAAATTGCTTGTATAATTTCGCAAACAACATAAATAATTACAACTAATGAATAAGTCAACTATAAATAGAAAGAAAGATAAAAAAAAGTTATAATAATAGTTAAAATATTTTCAACTAACATATGATTAATTATCATGAAGATATAAAATAGATATTTCATTTTTTTTTCTGTAATATTATAATAGAGCTGTAACCGTTTATTTTTATAACATTAGCTTTGATGAATATCACAATTGTATTTTAGATAATATCCGGTAGTATATCTTTTTTTTTCAATATGAATTTTTTTCTCCTCTTGGGAAAAAATATTTTATATATAATTATAGTCGCCACTCATATTTTTTTATGCATTTCTTTTCGCTTATACGTCAAATTTCGAAGACGGAATCCAATTTCATAAGCACATAACGAGATTTAGAGCACTCGTTATTACATGAAGAAAAATTTACAAATCAAAATAAAATTTTTTTATCTATATGTATGTTAAAAAACATAATCTTTTAATTAATTTATCTGCTTAATTTTTTGTTACATTTACACTAGCCCGAGAAAAAATGTTTTATATATAATTATAATTATATATAAAACATTTTTTCTCGGGCTAGTGTAAATGTAACAAAAAATTAAGCAGATAAATTAATTAAAAGATTATGTTTTTTAACATACATATAGATAAAAAAATTTTATATTGATTTGTAAATTTTTCTTCATGTAATAGCGAGTGATCTAAATCTCGCCATGCGCTTATGAAATTGGATTCCATCTGCGGAATTTGACGTATAAGCGAAAAGAAATGCGTAAAAAACGTGAGTGGCGACATACATAATTGCGACATGAATGAAAATGCAACTAAATCAACACAATTATAAATGTTTAATAATACACAGCAAATTAGTCGAATAAATTTTAACAATGCTTTCGTATTTGCTATAATAAGCATCTTTTCACTTAAACTATATTCACAATGCAAAACAAATTCATAAAAATCATAAACGTCATTACAAATATTTAAATTAGATATATAAAATTCCCTTGTAATGTTATTAATTTTCCTTTAAAAATTATAACAGTTTTGTAGTAATAGTATAAGTTTTATATTGATTCATTATTCAAAAATGTTTTTGAGTAATAAACTCCTGTCACATATGGAAACATACATCAACTATACGTTATATGATTGTTAATTATTTTTATTAATTTAGGAATTATAGTGTTCGTTGAAATATTTGTTGTCGCCGCCACGCGATAAGATTTCTCAAATTTGTAATCAACTCTCATAATTTTTTGGAATATTTGGATTAAAAAAATTCTTTGAATATTATAAAGAAAATGAAATTGATTGCGTGGAGTTTCTTACTATTTCCATTTGACCAGTTAAGAATATGTATAAAATAGGCGTACCCGCATAAAGTGTAAAATATATATTTGCGAAAAATTGTAAAATGTATCTATATACGTAAACTTTAAAATATATATACATATATACCTGTAAATAAAATGTGCAATTAAATATAAAATATAATATAATTATATAAAATTATATATAAACTTATACATATATATAAGATTAAAATTATATATAATATATAAAATGTATATTGATTAGTTCTCTTTTCCTGCATTTTTTTTATTTATATCACAAATTGTATTTCAAATTATGTTCAGTAATAATAAAAAAACTATTTTTAATAATAGTTGCAAATACATTATACTGCAGCATTGCTACGACATTGCAGCGCAATCTTGCTGAAGACGGACATTTTTATGATGCTACAACATTGCAATGAGATATATCTGCAATCATGTTGCAATCTTTCTGTACTGTATGAGATATAATTTAAATTCTGAATATTATTCTTCTTCCAGTTTCATTATTTTCGCAGATTTCTGTTTATTTTAATACTTGCAAACTATATGTAGATAATGTAGAGTGAAAGTGAACGCGAAATAAAAAATATTTGTAATTATATATTCACAAAAATATTCAAATCGAATGAAAAATATATTTATCCATTTCTCGATAAATATAAAAAAAAATTCATGTTCGTATCCATATTTGTTATTCATTCATTTATTCGAATATTGAATGTAGGTATACATCAGGCACATTAATTTTGATCTCCTTCAGTATGATCAAGCTTTATCGAAAATAAATTGCGCTGTGTCCGAATGTTTTGTTAAATAGATCTTATATATAAATAGTATTTTTTAACGTATATATAAAAGAATCCCAATTATTATATGAAAAATTGAATCCCGATGAAATAAATTAGTTTTTATATGTACCTAATGTATAGCTTATGCTATATGATGTGACGAATAGAAAATAAAACAAATAATCATACACACATGGCTCAATAATGAATAGTTTTTGAGCTATGATCATGCACAGAGCAGATTTGATACACCATATAGCTCAAAAACTAGATATTCATTATTGAGTCTTGTGTTTTTTTATATCTTTTGTCCACCACATCTATATGTGAAAAATAACTCATTTCACCTAATTTTCTATATAATTAATGCGAGGTTCTTTCATGCATTAAAAAATATTATTTATTACAAAGCTTATTCAAAACGCTTAGACAAGGCATAGGTAATTTACTTTCGATATATGTAGATTCATCATGCTGAAGGAAATAAAAATCCATACGAAGAATTCATAATTATGTGGGTAACGGATAAGTATTGTATTTATCATTCAAGATTAAATAATGAATAAATTTTCATTTATCATTAACAATTAGTGATGAGTGATGAATAAATTTTTATTCTTTATTCAAAAATTGTTGAATAAACTTTTATTTATTATTTACAAGCGGCTAAAAAAATTTTTATTCTTTAAATTTTATTTATTTAAATAAAAAATTATTGAATATAATATCCATTTCCGGGATATATATTGTTTAATTATTTAAATATAAAACACGTAAGTGTATATATATATAAGGAATGCAAATTATTTTTTGTTAAATTTCAAAGATTCTTTTAAATATTTAAGTGTAATTTTCTTTCAATCTCACGATTATGCAATAAATGCATAAAAATTTATGTAATTCTATATGAAATATAAAAGTGTACATTAATTTCTAGCAAATTTTGCCCATAGTCGATCAATGATATCATCACGCGTGATTGCACGAGACCGAGGACGCATATATTGTTTAATCACGCATCAAAATTTGCCGATGCATCAAATCACTCGCAACACAATTTCGCAAGCAACGCGAGTGGTTTCGTCGTCAACTCCAATTTCGCGACTTCTCACGGATTCCTTTAAAAAACGGTCGCGCTAGTCCTGCTTCATCAGTTCGATTTTTACTTCGATCTACGAACAATGTATCTGAAGAGTTCCTGCTGGCGCTAGTCGCCTGTCAGGCTGCACCTTCATCTCAGGCAATTGAGAAATCAATTAATGAAGCAGAGACGATGTTCGCCAAGACCAACATAGAATTAGAAGGTACTGGTGCGGAAAAGGATAGGGCGAAGAAATCGGCAACGACCTTCTGCGTAGAAGTTCGCTCGGGAAAGGCAGAAAAGATTCCCTGCACGCAGATAAGGCCACAAGGGATTGTTCAACAAGAGACATCCAAACCGGTGGTTATTGTGCAACCTATATCGATACCAGCATCAGTACCAGTACCGGTACCTACAATTGTCGAGTATCCTAAACAGCCGATTGTGATCCAGCAACAGCTTCAGCCTCAGATTGTACCTCAACCAACTCCTCAATTCGTAGCACCACTACCATCCCGTGCGCCAGTAAAATCGCCAGCTTCAGTTCCGATTAATGACATCGTACTGCCAACTCCAACTTCCACACCTTGCGACAAATTAACCATTACGCAACCAGTACAATCACCAATTCACACGGTCCATGTCATTCATTCGCAACCGACACCGCAGTTATCCATTCAGGAAGCTAAACCGTTCAAGGTAGAGAGACCAGTGTTTAAACCGATACTACCACAGGTAAAAAAAATTATCAATTTGAATAAATTATAAAGATTAAATTATCAATTTGATAAATTATAAAGATTAAATTATCGATTTGATAAATTATAAAAATTGAAAGTTAATAGTAATAAATTTTATGATAACTTATTTTCAAAATTTACTCAAAGCTTCTTACTTGTCTTAATTTTTAAACATTCAACTTTAAAGTGATTAAACCAATAAAGATTTAATAATTAATCTAATTAATTTTCCAATTAAATTAAATTGACTATTATGTAATTAAAATCTATTTTAAAAAAATAAAAATTAATATTAAATTATTAATATTTTGATTTATTTCTCCTTCACAATTCAATCATTGTCACTTTTGCAGCAATCGATTGTCCAACTGCCTACAGTCTGCAAAAAATGCAACAAAATGATGCTACCACCATATCCATACCCGTATCCACCTAAGATATTTCCATCAGATAGTCCCTACAGCTTGACTTACCCTACAGCTTTTACCGATGTAAGTGGAAAATATTATTAGGTTTTAAAACTTTTTAATTTCATTTAAAGCTATAAGTTGAATTTGTATCAAGTTCTTGTACTTTTAGTTTTCTGAATCAGTAATTTTTTTGTAATAGATGCATCATATTCTATATAAAGACCTATAACTCGTTATAATAGTAACAACATCGTTACAATATCGTTATATTGTCGTTTTATCATATCTTGCGTATATCGTTACGATGTCGTTATTGTCATAACGAGTTACAGAATACAGGCCAAAGTATTTCCATACTAAGGCCCAGTTCCACAACTCACAGTTAACTCTTAATCGAGGTTCAACGTATTCATTGTCTGTTTCCAATTCTAGAATTGAAAAGAGATGAGTAACAAGTTGAACTCGGTTAAGAGTTAACCATGAGTTGTGTGTGGAACTGGGTCTAAATAAAATTTAATATTATTTTATTTCTTGCTGATCTAGGTGACATCGCAATATGGACAAAGAACTGATTATGAAGTAGGACCGTACGAGTGTAATTGCCGAGAGAACCGCATTGTTGAGATATTACCCCACAAAATCAAGATTAAGGATCCTCGCATGGCAAATTCTGGTGACGCAGCTATCGATTCTATAGATACCGTACCTTTCAACTCTATACCCCATGTATCCTCGATGCTCTCCACGGAACACGACCCTAGCATTTCTAACATCATACCGGACCAATCTATGTTCTTTGCTTCAAAAGGAGCTAGAGAATCGGTAAGTACCAATTAGATGTATTAAGTAGCAATTATCATACGATATCCCCTTAGAATATATACTACTGGAAGAGGAATAAAGCGCTGAACGTGAAGTCAATATCTGTGCGAGAGAGAAAACTATAGAGTCCCAAATGTTCACAATGTGCATGCGCAGCACCGTCGTCTGTGTAAATTGTACAGTTGGTTTAGTGTTTCTTACACATTCGTACATTACACAGATGTATAAGACGACGGTGCTGCATAGTGCTGTGCATATGCATTGCGAACATTTGGGACTCTCTACCTTTCTCTCTCTCACAGATGTTGACTTCACCTCGGTATACGGGCCAGCATAGGCAATTCCTCTTCCAGTAGTATGTTTTAAGACGGTCCCACCGTCAATAATTTTGATATTATCGTATTAAGATAATACGAACGCGATGTCCCAGTAGTGCGATATTCTTGAAAAACGATAAAAAATGCGACATTAAAAGATTCCCATATGTGCAATTCTATTGCTTTTTTAAAAAATTTATACGAAAAATTTTGTAAAGATCTTTATAAAAAGCTCGATTGCAGTTCGTATAAGAAGAGCTACATAATATTTGATTTCACGCGCAGGTTTAATCCTTTATAGCCTCGATGACTTCGTTAAAGGAATTGGACCAAGAAAGCTTAAAAAAATCAAACGTCTAAAATATTTAAAACTTTGTACAAAACACACGTGTTTTCAACGAAAACGTTCTTATGTATTATTTGTTCACAAAATAAAAACAGTTATTCATAAAAATCTTTTCAATATTGTTCTCCCTCTTTCAATCCTCTGATTATAACATCCAATTTTATTATACTCGATATACAGCATAATATATTTATGAAGCAAAGTGCTACATTTGGAATCTTTTGATGCGTATGAGAAGAAACATTAGTCGTGCGATTAATTGCTGAAAATTATAAATAGAAAATTATCGTATTGCAAATTCGTGCAGGAAGAGATCAGTATCAATTGCACATACATTTAAGTTAGAAACGATACTAAAAAAAATGCAAGTACTGATCTTTAAAACAATAAATTTTATAAAAAAAAAACATTTAAATACTAAATACATCATAATGTGATTTTTACAAATAATAAATATTGAATTTTTTTTTACAGGAAAGAAAAGCATTACATCATCATCTCCCTACGAAACATTATCCCCCTGTAAACTTTAATGTGGAATTCCCTGTCGTATATGGAACCGACGATACCCGTAATTATCAACCTCAGTACTATCCTTCATATCCTTCAAATTCTTATACCTATCCAAATTCTTATGGAACCTACGGAACTTCTTATCCAATAAGTTACGACTCTCCAGCTTCAGCAAGTAATATACCAGCAATCACTGTAAATGCGGGAGGACCATTTTATCCTCGCGAATCTCAACACACTGATGACTCATCGTCTGAACCGAATAACGAAGCGCAACCAAGAGCGTTTTCGACTGATATTCAATCAAATCGCGAGCAGAAAGAAATTACACAGACCGACAAGAAAAGCATCATCAAGGAAATAATTCCCGAAACCAACGTAGTTACAAGGAAGTAAAAAGAAAAGAACAAAACAAATCGTTATTTATTTTATTTAACGCTATTAAAGTACTAGCGTTTAATTATCTAATAATTTTTTAATTTTTCTACAATTTTTTAATTTTTCTATACTATATTAAAAATATTGTTAGTTTAAACAAATATATATTTTCTATCAATAAAACATTATTTTTTAAATCACAAATTATGTATATTTTTTAGCACTCACCGTTTTGAATTCTGCACTCCCATTTTTGTGATTTTCCTGTATTATATTTCCTTTCTGTATAATTCCCTTTCACCATGAGACATATTTACACACGCGATTTGTTTCCGAATCGTATGCTTCAAAATTTTAGAATTATCAGAATCGAGGTTGAGTATAATTTTTCGAAACGTTTTGATATTCACAGACAAATTCACGTTGTTATTATAATTTTCCAGCAAAATAAAAAATAAAAAATGTTACATATAATAGTTAAATTCAGTATATCATTTATAAAACAATGGCGTTTAGCAGAATATTTATTTTGCAGCTGGAAATTTTCTTCAAGCTAATCGGATTACATTTTTAAATCTAGAAAGAAATAGTTCTATCTCTGGAAGACAGATGTAAAATAACAATTATAAAATAAACATTTTGCTGAACGCAGTCAATAATCAATTTTATAATATAAATTTATCTGTCATAATTTTGTCTTTTTAAAAATATATCATCCTTATTAATTTATTAAGATTTGTACAGAAACTGAATAAATTTTAGTATATAATATAAAGGCAAATTTAGATGTATAAACGTTAATATTCCTATAAGTAATTGAAATCAACCTACTAAATTTTATTTTATTGACATCATTATCGAAATGCTTGAAATTTATGAATGACATTATTCACTATTTGTTCTAAATTCATTCCCAATTGCTGAAAATACCATTTGCTTGTTGCTGGACATATTAATACTATGGCGATGGTGCATATTGTTATAGGAGCAAACAACATCCAAATTAACTGTAAAAAGATTAGTTATAATTAGTTATAAATCAATCAAGAAAATTTTAGATACATGCATGAAATATCCAAGATATAAGCAGCCATCCTATCAATACTGTTGCAGCTGTGGTTAAATACGGAACATATTCCGGACAAGAAATGTTCCGCAAAAGAGGAATTTTATCGTTCAAATCAATCAATATAGCCTCCAACTGTGAAATAATTAATGACATAATTATTGCAATAAATGTAGCTGAAAATATTGGAAAACTTACATTCATTTCGTCTTCGATAAATTTTTGTAAAAACAATTTTAATTTAATTTAAATAAAAAATCGTTACTCAATATATACAAAATTTTACATACTGTTATAAAATAATTTTTACAGAATATGTGACTTACGCAATAAATTTTGTCATATAATATATGTATAATATGATAAAATTTCAACCAATTTCAACCGATTGCATTAACGTAACGATAAACTGACTACTTCACCACGTTTAATCATATTTGAATATATAGTGTGTTTATTAACCTCTAGAGGACCGGAGGTCCCTTTAGGGACTCGATAATGGCTACGTTTACCGTGTTAGTCCGCGCCCTATACGATAGGTGTCTTTGTTTAATATACAGGATAAACAAAGACACCTATTGTATAGGCCGCGGCCTAAATGCACGGTGTAAACGTAGCCAATGGCGCCACCTTTTTCGCCCCATGATATTGATAAAAAAGTTTTAGCCCTTAAAATAAAAAAAAATCGATCAAAAACATGCCGGTCCTCAGAAGGTTAAAATAGTTCTCAAAATCTTTTATCTTCTGTTTTCATACACATATAGAAAAATTTTTTATTTCTCAAAAGATCGTTATACAATAGATTTCTTAATAAAATACATTTCATTTCATGTTCACATAAGTCGTTTATATAAACAAAATAAATTATTTTGTACAAATGATTCTTTTCCTGTGATTGTGAATAATCCTTTTTTTTATCAGCAGTCAATATTAAGTATCCTTGCGTGCAATTGATTTTTTCATCAAGCTATTACCCTGTGATTGATTTTGTGCAGGTTCAATTATACCCTTGTCTGCTGATAATATAGCAGAAAATTCATCTTTTAAGGGCCAAATATCTTGCGGTATTTCTTCAAGAATGCTACTTTTATATGGCACGAAAGGAGTTTGCATGTCGAGCTGAAGCTGAGTAAAAGGTTCTTGTTGAAGAGTCGTTTCCTGCTGCTGATCGCATTTAACAAGAGTGCATAGTTTGTGAAATGCCGAAGATGTCATTCTTGCCATCAGGATTGTTAGAAGCTGTACAGGACCAGGTGTTCAAAATTAACTGACCATGGGGCTACTTACCCCTGGTCTTGGTTACATATTGCTTAATAAAATATTTATTAATTCTTTTTTATAATAAGATCTTTAGATTCTTTCAGAATCTTTTGAAATATACAGACAAAGATATAAAAAAACAAATTAAAAAAAAATATTTAATAAAATTCTAACTATATACTCACAATAATCAAATTGGCAGCTTGCCGTAATAAAAATATGGCTGTAGGATATATTAGGATAATCGTTATTTCCATCAAACGCGAAACAGCAGCAACGGAAAATAGAATACCAGACAACATCAACAGAATTATAAGTTGGAAAAGTCCAATTAGTATCTATAATAAAAATATTTATTAAATCATCAAATTTGAAACAAGATTATTAATAATTACTCAAATTTGACAATCACAAAATTTATAAATTTTTCCCGGTAAAAATTTTTTTATACATTAATATAAATATGTATAAACATACTTAACACGCATATTCATAATCATATATATTTATATATGAAATCTCATACAGCACCGAAAGTTTTCAAAAATATCTATATTGACATATTTCGCGATTTTTATGAAATGTTTCACTTTTCAGTTGAAATATTTCTAAGATATTTCTGAAAACTTTCGGTGCTGTATGGGATTATTATTTTTAGTACATTAAAAAGTAATTTTACAAATGAAAGAAGGATGATAGGGTATGAAGGATATGAACATGTCTCAAACATAATTATATATATTTATGAATGTTTATGTATGTTTATATATGTTTATATATATTCATGTATGAAAAATTTTTTACCGGGTTTGTATAAATATTGAAATCATAAAATTACGTAATATGTGAAATTCTTAAATATTAATTATGTATAAATTACTTAATATAATTCTTACACAAATGATCCACATTGCTGATGTTTTTTCGTTTCACGAACTATTTGCAATTTTGTCAATCGCAAATTGTTCCGCAATCAAATCGATTAAGATTCTGGTTTAATTCATAATATTTAACGAACTGCATTTCATATCTTGACTTCAGTCGACGAGTGAGCTTAAAACTCTTCGAGAAATTTGTAGTTTTGGGTTTTACAATTCGACATGACATAAAAATAATATTAATTTGGCTATGTTCCAAAATTGACTGCCTGTACTCAAAATCTATAGTGCACGTGACATAAACTGTAGGTCTGTTCTTTTTAAGTTAAAATCTTTGCACGGTAAATCTTTCTTCCTTTTCTTTCCACGTTGGAAAAAAAAAGAAAAGATGAACCGTGCAAGAAGTTCAGCTAAAAAAAATAGGCCTAGCATTTTTAGTGCGGGCAATAAATTTGGAACACAGCCGTAATGTTAATTTCACTTAAGATAGCCCAACTTCATATTGTACCATGTTACATGCACCATGTTGAGTGCAATCCCAAAAAATCAGACGAGAGCTAAATCATTAAAAAAATAAAAAATTATGTATTATACTCATAGATATTTATATCTAACATTAGGGGCCAGTTTCACCAATGCCAATTAACTTAATCGGCCGTTGACTAATCAATCGCGTTTGCTGTTTAGTAGAATTGACCAATTGCGGTTGACAGTTAATCATCGATTAACGACAAAAACGCACAAATAAAATAGCACCCTTAGGCTGATATTTCATGTGTCGTACGACAGGTTTTTCAAGCCCGTTGATTGGCTGCAGAACAAAGAGGTTCTCGGATCTTTCTGTCCTGCAGCTAATCAACAGGCTTGAAAAACCTTATCGTATAGTTTGCGCAATTAATGCCTTCCACCTCTGTTTCGACATTGCGCGTTACCTTCTCGGTTATTTTCATGTTCATGGTCATAATCACGGAATTATCGACAATACGCGAGTTTCTCCAATCTCTATTGGCTAGTCTGGTTTGTCCAACTACGGCCATGAACGTGAAAACAACCGAGAAGATAAACGCCATGTCTCACCAGTAGACGTGATGTCATATGCTGGATTCATACTGCATCCTATTTTCGTCGTTTCTGCATCCAATCAGAAAACAGGATTCCGATAATACGAAGCAAAATTCATCGGAATCCAGTAATAGGCTGGAAAGGCATTAATTGCGCGAACTGTACGACACATGAAATATTGAGCTTAAGCCAATATTACATGCGTCCGTTTTTTGTCGTACAACAAGCTTTTCGAGCCCATTGATTGGCTGCAGGGCAAAGAGGTTCTCGGATCTCTATGTCCTGCAGCCAATCGACAGGCTTGAAAAATTGTACGACAAAAAACAGACGCAACAGTAACCATAAAGTCCAAGACACTATGCGAGGGAATAGCAGTAGCGATAGGAATAACAGTTTCAACCTATCAGAAACTGTGTATTCCGGTGTATCCGATTTCTGATAGATTGAAATCGTGTTATTCCTATTGCTACCGCTATTCCCTCGCACTGGGTGCGTTCAGCAGAACGGTTGTTTTGCAACTGTTGGAAGTTTCCTTCGCGCTGATTGGATCATACTTTTAGATCTAGAAGAATGGTCCTATCAGCAGACAATCATAAAACGGTTGCAAAACTGTTGAGTCTGCTGAACGCAGCCACTGTGTCTTGGACTTAATACGCGTAAAAGGCTCGGTGTAAACTAGGCTATATTTCAGTGGTTTTAGAACGCATCCCTGTAGGCTGTATGGCCGTCGTGACTTCATCGTTTGGTTGACGTTACGATAGTCGTGCCACGTATTTTTGCTATTTGAGTCTTTTGTAAAGTCACACGATCGACAATTGTTTTAATGTCTTTTACTTGTTCATCTCGAGTGACTTAAGAAGCTCTCGGTAGATATGGGGTCCTCTCACAGCGTGGAGATACCGGGAGGCGGTACAGAAGGTTACCATGTATTGAGGGTAAGATGATCTGTCAAGAGTAACCACCCAAAGTATTGTCCACTTTTAGAAAATTGTTCTACAAATATTACGAAAAATAATAATGAAACTTTTTGGAAGATATATCTGAATAGCACTTACGTTTTTATAAAAAATTTAAATTCTCTCTGTGTAACCAATTTGTAAAATATAACATATTGATTATGAGGAATGTTATTCATGATTTGTCATTTTTTGACTTCATTATTTTACCTTGCAAAATGTATTTCAGATTTATTTAAATTATTTTTTAGTGATTTCGTGAGCATTCAAAAGCAAAATTTTCACAGTAAAAATATAAGATGTAACATTTGTTATAAGGATGTTAGGTTTTTATTTAGGTATTTATTTTTTTTTAATCTGAAACTATTGGCTTACGAGAGTAATTTTTTGAGAGCTCATTTTTTGAGGATTGAATAATTTAATGTCAAATTGTATTTTATCTGTGCCTCTGTTATAAAAAAATTAAGAAATCTAAAATTAAATAATATATAAATAATCATATATAAATATAATTTGTATATCTTATAACTTATATTCTAATTATAAGCTTATTATAATTGATCTCATATGTAATTTATTAATTGCTAATGTAAAGGCTATAATAGGAAAACAAATCTTCATACTAAATACGTATTAAAAATACATCTACTTCGATATATAAAAAAATTATAATATTAACAAATGTTCTATGTCTTTTTTGACAGGTTCAGGAAGGTTCTCCTGGGCAGCAAGCAGGACTGGAAGCATTCTTTGATTTTATAGTGGCAATTGGCAATACTCGTCTGGTACGTTTACTTGTAATTTCTATTCTAATAAAGGCTGCATTTCATTATTCACTGTCAGTACTGGCAACATTGTACATGCCGTTCCAATATATATCGCAGTAAACTTCCAATATACTTTGCGTCCATTTGACGTCATAAATTTTTGCGTCACTTCCTACTTCTGCAACCGGCGAGATCAGGCAATCGCAGTAAAAAGATGGCGAAATTCAACGAAATGGAAAATCAGGAAAAAATGTGTTTTTTAGATGTCGAAACGAATAAAAGTTATGATATATTAGTGAACAAAGAAGATGCAGAAAAAGCTCGCAAAGGTATGAATATAATTAATAATTCCAAATTTTATCAAAATTTAAAAAATTATTTATTTCTACACAGTCCTACCAAGTACTAAATCCGTTTCGTTATGCAACGTTGCAACGTCATAAAAATACTATTAGTAATTTCGAAACGCTTTTGCAATATTACTTTATGATGTCATATTGTCAGTACTGACAGTGAATAACAAAATGCAGCCAAAGTCAATAAAGATATATATGTGTATAAATTCACACAGTCATACAAACATTTAAGATCCAGCTAGACTGTTTAAGGCATTGATTTCTATAGTTTGTGTTATCATACATACACACATACGGTTCTATAATATTATATATTATAAAGATATATATTTTATACAATTACAATAATTATGTTGCGTCCCTATTTAAAAAAGCTGCATATTTTTAGGATCAAGATAATGATACTTTGAAAGAACTTCTAAAGGTTGGTGTAAATAAGGAATTAACAATCACAGTGTATAGTAGTAAAACACAGTCTGTAAGGCGGACAAATATTATTCCGAGTATGACATGGGGTGGACAAGGTTTACTGGGTGTCAGCATACGTTTCTGTTCATTTGAAGGTGCTAACGAAAATGTTTGGCATGTACTCGTGAGTGTAAAGTTATATATAAATCTCAAATTAATTCTGTATAGTAAATTATAGTGAAAACATATTGATATTTGCAGGAAGTACATCTGCTGAACTGGCCGGTTTACGGCCGTTCACTGATTACATTATCGGAGCAGACTCCGTTCTTCATGAAAGTGAGGATTTATTTACTTTAATAGAGGCGCACGAATCAAGACCTCTCAAATTGTATGTATATAATACTAAAAATGATTCCTGTAGAGAAGTGACTATCACACCTAATAATACTTGGGGTGGAGAGGGAAGGTATATAGTTTCTCATACAGTAGATCCAATAATGAGATATTATTTTAGATAATGCATATAGATATTAAATTCTTCTGGATTTATTTAATAGTTTGGGATGTGGAATCGGATATGGATACTTACACAGAATACCGGTCAGAAGCGTACCAGAACAGAAATCTGCTAGTTCATATGTGGTAAAAAGTTGCATTATATAATATTTTTGTGTCAATGTTTGAATAGTTTGAAAAAAATATATGCATGATTAACAGTATTATAAGAGATAGTAGCTTCATAAACTCCTCAAAATCTGCTATACTATATTATTACACTTATGCACGCACACATGCGCGCGCGCGCGCAAACAAACAAACAATGAATATTCTCATTTCAGAATATTCCTATGAATATTTCCTTTTCAGAATACTGTAATGCAAACTCAACCAGCAACGACTGCTACTGTTACTATGGCAGAAATCAATCCGATTGTTAGTACACCACCCGGATTAATTCCACCGAATTATACCGCTCCGACGGATAGCTCGATAAAAAATTTAAAAAGCGAACAAGAAGCTATATCTCCTCAAAGTATACCTGGACCTGGACCAAGAATGCAAATGCAACCAGCAAATCAAGTCAGTTTCACTGGTACTGTTGGTGGCTATACATCTGTCAGGTCGGGACCTCATATGCTTTCGAATCAACCTACCACCAGTTTTACATCCAGTAAGCACATATTTTATGTTATTTCTTAATTTGTTTTATACACAGGGTAGGCCATTTTAATTAATACACGCGAATGCCGACAGTACTGTAACTTTCGAACCTCATAACTTGAAATGTACTTAACGAAAAAATACTTTATTATAGCGTTTTGGAAAGCTCTTGAAATAAGTTACAAGAATACGCAATAAAAAATGGAGGGTTCCGTTTAAAAAATTTTATTTAACATGGACCTGATCTTAAGGACATCTTAAGGTCAAACAAGGTCATTGTCTTCTTTCCTCCTTGAAATCATAAAATTTTTGTCTGAAACATTTTTTGAAAAAAATTTTTCCATTTCGAGATATTCGCGTGTATTGATTAAAATGGCCTACCCTGTATATATATATATATATATATGTATATATATATCGTATTGTATTATATTTAATTAAAAATTGAAAAATTTTAAATTTTTGAAAATTGAGAAAGAACTGTTATTTAGAGACGATCCTTTTCAAAACGTTGATTTGTAATAAATTGTTGAATATTTCTTATGTTTCTACTGCAAATTTTGTTAAACCTCAAATACTCTTTGTGAGATTTTCAGCAGAAAAAAAAATGACAGATTTATAGTGTTTTATAACGCTTATGTATCCTCGTAATATTTAATTATTTAAATCGTTGCTGATTCATCTACTTAATTGTTTAGGTACTTATCCAATAACTCCGAACATTCCTGGTATGCCAACTGTTACGGGGTTACCATCAAACATTATCAATTCTTATGAAATTTCAATCGCACCGTCTGGCCCGATTAATGCCCCAGAGCAACAGAAAGAGCAGAATTCTGTTCATAATACAACCACAATCAATGTCCCAGTATTGTCAAGAGAGCAAAATCCTGTTCCCAGTACGAACACAACTACTGGCTTTAATATGGCTCATGTTGTAACGACACCTATCTCACTGCCAGGAATGC